TCTCATCATATGTCCATCGCTTTTAAATCAACGATGATAATAAAAGTTGTGGTAAAAATTAAAAAGTACATTTGAATCGTTAAATGAGTTGATTTTTTTAATTTAAAGATTAAAAAGATTTTGTTGATTAAAAAATTAAGTGATTGTTTATTTACCTTTTAATAATTTTATTAAGAGTCAACCTCGGAATTTCTAAGAAATGAATTTTGTTTGGTAAAAAAAAAATCTGTCTTTTAATGATTTTAAAATCATTTGAATGATTTTGTGTCAAGGCCTCTCTAAACCATTCAGCGTCCTAATTCCATTGTAAACAATTACCGAACACTTATATTTTATTTTGCACTATATCATGAGAACCTCTTAAATCATTCTGCGTCAAATCATTCGATAACTGTAAAGCAGCCCTTAACCTTCAACTACTTCTATCAACTTTTATGTTTGTTTCACGAAGTTCTACATGTTTTCAATCACTTTCGTATACATGATTTTGTTATATTTTCGGTGTATATAATAAAAATAAGCCAATGAATAAAATTGGAAGGGTAAACTACAAATTTGGTCCATGTGATTGTCAAAAACAACGTTTTTTATTGTTTCTTTTTATCATTTATCCAATAAAAAACCATACAGACCAAATTATAAAATCGATTTTGATTGGTTAAAAGATAAGAAGTTGTAGAAAATTTTAGGTATAAATTTTATCTTTAGACGATCCTAAGTCAATACGTAATTAATTAAAGAAAATTTATTGTTAAATTAAGTATGATAATAATAAAGTTATGACATAAAAACAATGAACAAGTGATTATAAATAGTAAAAATAGAGCCAAAAGGAAAATGCTATATTTTTATTTTACACATTTAAAATAAATATAAAACTAATTTGAAATTGAGAGGAACAAATCAAATCATACTCTCCTAACACCTAATCCCTTTAAATTTTCAACACATTATTTATAAAAAAAAAGCTAACTTTCCACCTAAATTTTGTTTTTTCCTTTCTATTCTTTGACTATAAATACCAACATTGGTTTAGTCAATAATCTTACTTCAAAATTATTATACCCATTCTCATGTAAATTCATGTGTTTTCATTTGTAAAGTGTCCACTTAATTCAACCATATTTAAATATACTTCAATTTTAATAGGTGTTAGTTAATTTATCATGACAAACACATGAATCTGTAAGTTTGCGTTTTTTAATGAGTTTCCGAAAGATTAAAGAAATGATCCATTCAATAGGGGTCGTGGATTGAGAAGCCAAACGTTATGACTCTTTTGTTATTGTTATTTTTTGGTGGCTCTATTTGTTTTGTGTTCCCGTTTATCGTTTTCTACTCTGGTAATCGAAGTGCCTTAGTTATAGGGCAAAGCTAATAGAGAATTTCATTTGATCGAAAAAATGTTGGGATCTCATTGAGAACAAGATCAACGAACATGGAGGAGTTGTATCCATCGAAACATAGCAAAAGGTGATTAATGAACAGACACCATGAGTTTTGAAGCTCAAGAACTTTCTGTAACAATCAATTGATATGGAGATTCTCATGAAGAAGAAATACCAAGGATCAATCAAGGTGAAGCGATCAACCACAAGCTTTATGTTAGGAGTACAAAACTTTGAACATGAGGGTAGGGGAGTTTGTGAATAGCTATTTTCAAGAATAGCTAAGAGATGAAAGATTATGGAGAGGATATCAAAGAAAATGTAATTATTGAGAAGGTTTTGAGGTCCATGACTTCTAAGTTCAACTATGTTGTGTGCTCAAGTGAGGAAGGAAACAATCTACACACACTCACTTTGGATGAATTGCAAAGTAGTCTGCTAGTCCATGAGCAACGGATGAAAGAGAACATTGAGGAGAAATAGGTTCTCAAAGTCTCAAGCAATAAAAGGGGTGTAGGAGGATGGGGATGAGATGAGGATGTGGGAGGCTTTCGAGGAGACTGTGGCAGAGGCAGAAACTATCAGGCTACGGTCACAAACTAAGGCATCTTCAATTCGAATGTCCTAGTTGGAGAAACACAAACTATGCTGAAATGGACGAGACATAAGAGATATTGCTTATGGCTAGTAGTAAACAAGAAGTACATACAAATAGAGCATGGGTTCTTGACTCCAGATGCTCAAATCACATGATCAAGGATAAGAGATGGTTTGTGACCTTAAATAAAAGATTCACACATTTGGCAAAACCCGATAATAACACAAGGATGATAGTTAAAGGAAAAGGAGATGTAAAGTTATCTATTAGAGGAAGAAAACATGTTGTGAGCAACATGTACTATTTATCTAATATAGCCATAAAGCAGTTGAGTCTGAGACAACTACAAGAAAGGGGTTTAACGATACTGATCAAGAATGAAAGCTACAAAACTTTTCATGAAGAATGGGGTTTAATTATGCAATCTTAAATAACTTCAAACCAGATGTTTGTTCTTCCAATTGAAGTTCCACTTTTAACTTGCCTACAAATCACCCCAAAAGACAAATTCAACTCTCTGGCACCAGAGGTACGATCATCTAAACCAACATGATTTGCATCTTTTATCAAAGAAAGGAATGATGACGGGTCTCCCTCAAATTTCGAGAACAAGTTATGTGTGTTAAGTCTGTGCTAAGGTAAGCAACATCATGAACCGATTCCAAATGAAAGAAAGTGGAAAGCAACAGAGAAGCTTCAGCTGGTTTACACATATTTTGATGGTCTCATCATGCCAAACTCTAGAAGTGATGAAAGGTACATTTTATGTTTTATTGATAAAATGAAGCTAACACTTTAAAGGCTTACGCAGATAGTGATTTTGCAGGTGATGCCGATAGTGGAAGAAGTACTTCAGGGTATATGCTTTTAATGAGCAATGCAGATGTGTCATGGAGTTCCAAGAAGCAACTTGTGGCTACTTTTTCAACCACCGAGGCTAAATATGTTGTTGTAGTTGCTTGTGCATGTCAGAGCATTTGAATGAGTGAGATCTTAGTTAGTTTCTTAGCTTGAATCAAGATTAGATTAAAGGTGTTACTAATCTCTGTGACAACGCTTCTTCAATTGAACTCTCAAGGAACCCTGTGCTTCATAAGAGGACGAAACGCATCAAACTGAGGTTCCATTTTTTGCATGACTTGGTAAGAGAAGAAGAATTCGAGCTATTACATTGTGGAACAGTGGACCAGATTGTACACATCATGACCAAGCCGCTGAAACTAGATGCTTTTCTAAAGTTGCGCATCATGCTAGGAGTTCAAGAAATTGAAGATTTAAACTAAGATGCTTACAACATACTCAAGTTAAGGAAGGATATGAAGAAAACATGTCAAACTTGACCTGGTAATCGGAGTGCCTTATTTTCAAGAGTAGTTGGAGTCTTTTTCGTTTTTTTAGTTTCTCATGTAGTTGAATCATGCAGATTATCCTAGTCGTGTTAGTTGATTCACATCCGTTCTCTATTTAGCATATTGTTAGCAGTTGGTTTGATATTCACATTTCCTGTTCTCTAACCGCTCTTTATAAGACCAAATTTCTACTTTCAATACTATCGATTGAGTAATTCATCGACCAATTCACATTGAGTACAAGCACCTTTCTAACAACTGGTGTTTATTGATAGGCTGCCAATTTCACATCATACATATGAATCAAACAAATACATATTCGTCAATACATTAAATGTTAGCTTTAAAAGGAGAAAAAAATAATGCAAAACAGTACCTTAAAATAAAAATTATCACAGTATTTAAAGTTTTCAAATGATTAAACCTTCATATATCATGACAAAATGGGAAAGTGTTATCAAATTATTTGATTATAACAAAAAGTAAATAAAATACAAGGGCAAGTTGGTGATGGCTATAAAGGTTCCGTGAGTTGTTTAGTAGCAAGAGCACGTGATACGTCACCCAAATCCAACACTTATTTAATCCCACTACTTCCCATTATCGCTCATCTTTTCAGCATCATAAATCATAATTACCCTACACGACATTTTTGTTCACTTGTTATATTAAATTATAATATATTTTAATTAAATAATAGAGATTAACGTAAGATCATTAATTCTTAATATAGAAAGTAAAATGCAACGCCAGTTGGTGATGATGGCTACCGAGTGATGTTATTGTGGGGGATTGTTTATTATTAGCAACGCCACGTGAAACGTCACCAAAACCTCCGCTTTTTTTTTATTTTATTATATTAAATGAATAAATTGTTCTTAAAAAGGGATCTAAAAATATCAATATCAGAATTCAATATTTAAATGGAAGCAAGTCTTCGGCTAATTGTATTTATTTATTTATTTTTTCTTTTATTATTTATATATAATTTTATAATATTTTGTTTTGTATAAATACAATTCGATTTGTGTGTTTAATCTCTTCATCCGTGTCACGTTGGTTGTCAATGGATGGGTTATTACGTTACCTTCGCCTTGTACCATTTTTTACATTTATCAATGTTTATGATTTTTAATTTTTTATTACTTCAAAAAATGTATTTCTTGTTTAAACGTGATCAATTTGGTGAAATTAATTTGATTATTAATTACTTTAAGTAATGAAATTAAATTATTAGTATTTAAAAAAAAGAAAAAGATTATTGTAAGAGTGGACCAAATTAATGTGTCTTAAATGGTAGTAGTGTCTCAGACTAATCAGGGATTTAGGATGGACCATTCTCACTTCCGTCTCTGGGTAGGATACGTTGGAGTTAATATGAATCAAATTTTGCTATTAAAAACTTTTTTTATATATCATAAAATTAGTTGATAAATTAAGAAACGATGTAAAATAAGAGACAACGTCTTAAGAACCCTGAATGATTCCAAAACCATTTGAACCGTTTTTTTCTTTTGTCTAGAGTAATTTATTCTCATTCAAACGGTTTATTAAGAAGAATTATCAAGCATTTGTATTTCATCTTACACCATAAGTTACTAAATTGTTCTGATCATTTAACTGCATTAAGCGATTCAATAAGTGACAAATAGCCTTGACTTGTAACTCGACGATTAAACAACTTGTTTTATTTTAGTTTTCACTCATAAAAGTTGAATAATAATACAAGAGGAACTGAAAGTATAATTACAACGAGTCTCCATCTTCAAGCAGATTTAGGTATTCGCAATAAAGCTTCTCTAGCAGTTGACTGTCATCATTATTGGAAATGAGTAAATCACACACCTCCAACTCCAATGGTATATCGTTCTCACCCTCTATGCTTCCTGCGACTTCCATATCAAACAATGGAGTCCAATTTGGCCAGCAGAAGTCTGACGCTAGTAAATCACCTTCTCCCTCATCAATTGTGCAGTTTGACGATGATGCACCGCTCATTATTCCGTTATCCGAGCTCTCTTTTCCCCAATTTAACGATGCCGATTGTGAAGAAGACAAGGAAGAATTAGAAGGCTGATCAGGAACAGGCTCCTCACCTGATTTTTCTGCTGATTTCACCTTCGTGGACTTGTGATCCGTTTTCCTCTTCTTCTTCCTCGGTTTTTTATTGTTTTTGGAAGCGTCCGCCTCCTTCTCGACACCACCGTCGTCGATCTCTTTTCGTTTAAGATGCGAGTTCCAGTGGTTCTTAATCTCATTGTCAGTTCGACCTGGAAGTTCCGTGGCTATGAATGACCATCGGTTGCCATGGACAGAATGAAGCCGGATGATGATGTCATTTTCATCGGCAGTGAAGTTTCCTCTCTTGATACCTGGCCGGAGATAATTCATCCATCTCAGCCTACAACTCTTTCCACATCTAAGCAATCCTGCATCCATTAAAACATAACAATCATTCATCTGTACATCACAAACATACCTGCAATCCATCAATCATTTCGCTAAACGCTATTTGACTAATTTCATTCTAATATCTCCTGAATATCGTAGTTTCAGACCGTTGTCTAGCTTTTGTTTGCAAAATAGTTTCTCCAATTGTTAAACAGACAACGATTGAAGTTTTCAAATAGTCACAGATAAGCCAAAAAAAACAGTATATGAGTACAGACAGATAGCATCCAATCCAGTCGGATCGGCATAAAAAAGTACACATACCGGCTTTGGAAGGCAAGGATCGCCATTGACCTTCACCGTGAGTTTGAATGTAGTCGGTAAGAAGTTTATCTTCTTCATCAGACCATGCTCCCCTGTGTAAACCTACCTTCGAACAGCAAGGTGCTCTCCCCATTTTTGCACACACAACACGCTCGAGTGTGTGTTTCAGAGGGAGAGAGAACCAGAGAGAGATGTGGTCTGTGTGATGCAAGGGAGACCACGCCCATTCTTGACCTTTTAAATGCCTCTGGAAACAAATTAGTCACGTTTTATTGAAAAGTTGCCAAACTTTTATCAAATTTCCAAAAACCGACATATACTTTAGAAAAGTACAAAATCAGTCCTTGTAGTCTAATGTTATGAACACAATGCGGGTTTTTGGAAACATGCAGGAGAGATCCGCATTCAAATCAAGATCTAAACAAACATATGGTATAAGGGACAAAGGGGTAGTTTGATAGTTGGTACGCTATTTAATTCGTAGCTTTTTTTTTAATAAAGAGTTAATTTTATTATATTATTTTTATTTGACTAGATTTATAAATTCTGATTCATTATTAATTTTATATACATCTGAATAAATAAACTTTTATATAAAGAAACATCACTTGGAAAAATGGTTGTAATAGTGACGGAATTTAATTCAAGACTTTTCGTCTTTTAAAAATAACATGTGACTCATAAATTTGTGAAGACAGTTAATAAGACACATTAATCTTCTAGTATGTAATTATAGATCGAACTTAAATAAATAATACTAATAACGGTTATTTTCTACTTAGAGCCAGGGACAGACTCATAATTTTTTTTCAAATGGTGGTACCGTTTGATTATAAGAAAAAGATATAGAGAAAAAAATTCAAACAATGACATCATTTGACTATAAGAAACAAATGTACAAAGTTTTTTTTTCAAACGGTGACACCATTTGATTAAGAAAATGACATTAACAGGATTCAAACTTGGGTCTGGGATGGAATAAAAGTCTTGCAAACCAACTCTACCAAATAAAACTTATTCTCATTGTAGTTTCAAAATACATACAGTAACACAACAAATTAATACGGTTGCACCTTTCACGAACCTAAATAAATTTACCCTACGACGAAGGAATAATATGGTGGCACGTGCCACCGTATTCTCTACTCTAGGTTCGTCCATGCTTAGAGCTTATCCAATAAGCATATCATATTTATAATTAACAAACTTATTTTTTTATATCATTTCTCTTTATAAGCATTATCACGTTTGTATCATTTTAATGAACATGAAATATTATATTGTTGTGGCGTTATTTTTTTTAAATAAACTAGTGTAAGAAAATATACTAGTAATTTTGTTTGGTTAAAAAATGTTTGTTTTTTTACATCGTTTTACTATAAAACATAATATTCTAAGTATATTCTTTTTTTATTTATTATTTATATGAATTTTCTATTGCACCCTTATATTGGATTAACTTTACACATTATTCCCCAACATTAATGTTATTTGTGCAATAAGTTTTAACAAAATTGTATTATTATACTATTTAAATCCGACTAAATATTTAATTCTTAATTATATTATATTATATAAAACAAATATTATCTATACTATATTATAAAGCATTTGACAAAAAAATTTAAAAACCGTTTTTTATGCATGAAGTACTGTTTATTGATGCATATTACTTAAAATTCAAGATTACAAGTAAATTGTGCATAAATACAACTTATTAAAGCTCCATTTGAGTTCATGTAACTAACTGCGGATAAACATAATCAAATAGAGGATAAACATTTTATTTTAAAATATAAAAAATCTAAAATATAATTAGGATAATTATTGAATTCTAACAAAATAATTAATAATTATCTTTATAAAAAATTATATTATTAAACCAAATATAAATTAATTCGTTTTTAAATTTCAATTAAATTATAATAAAAAATTGAATCAAAGAAATTATACAAAAACGAGAACTTTTAAATATTTAATTTAATACTAATATTGCTTATAACATCATAATATTGATAGACAAAAAATATAAAACAAAACATTAAGAGGGTGTTTGGGATTGCTTATTTAAAACAACTTATGCTTTTTTGTAAAAGTGTTTATTAACTTATGTGGTTTTAAATCGGAGTTTTATAAAAAGTGTTTGAATTAGCTTATAGCGGTACCAAACTGCAATAAGCTGATAAGTTATTTTTTAGTGTTTGGCAAATTTTGCTTATATCTGTAAAATGACAAAAAAAAACAGTCTTCCATATTATTGACTTATGAGAGTGTTTGGGATTGCTTATTAACTTATTTGATTTTTTAATATATAAAAACTTAATTTTGTCGATTTTAAGTTCAAACATTATCCTTACTTACCGGATAAGATTTTAGTCCTTACTTACCGGGCAAAATTTTAGTCCACCAAAATCAAGGAAATTTATAATCCTGCCTAAATAATGATCTATAGCTTATCCATTCGACAGAATATCATAACTAGGAATGCTATATATATTCCTTCATGTATATACATATCAACATCTCCAGCATTATACCATTAACAAATATCACCCACACTAAACTTATGGAAGAAGAGGAAACTAGGCAAGTTCTTTAGAAGGCCATTTGTTCAAGCAGCCACAGTCCCTTTTCACCTCTCTTCTTCCTCACTAGAATATATTGGTAAAACAGAAAGCATTGAATGAACAACAAATACAAGATTTAAGTAATTTAACAGAAATTTCTTCAACATGAATCCTCATTTACACACAGCTACTTACAGATGAATGGATAACCCAACAACGCGAAGAAATCAAGAATAACCTATTTATCAACAACCCAAAATTGGGAAATAAATTGTGGGAAAACGAAGGAAAACGCAGGGGAAGTTTTCTGGCGACGATGAGACGAATTGAACGGATCCTTGATCGATGATTTCACAGGCAGTGAGAAGCGTATCTGTTAGGGTATCGATCTCTAGGGTTAGGGTAGACGATGATGGGGGTGGAGGAGAAGAGATATCTAGAGGAAGGTATATCGATTGGAGAAGAGGCGATGATGATGGGGGTGTTCGTTGGAGAAGAGACGATGAGATATATCTGTTGGAGAAGAAACGATGAGATGTATCTGTTGGAGAAGAGACGATGAGAGGTATCTGTCATGGGAGAAGAGATATCATTGATGATGTACGTACAATATTGGAGAAAGGGTGTTTACACATGGTTAAAATGGTAAACTGGTAGTAAGTTGATTTTCATAAGTCATGAATGATTAACTTATCAAAAACTGCTTATTACCGGTTTGGCACCGGTATAAGCAGTTTTTTTTTCCCTTACCCAAACACTAAAAAACAGCTTATCACCAGTGTCAGACTGAAATAAGTTAAAAAACAGGTTTCATAAGCACTCACAAACACCCCCTAAAATCAAGATGTATCTCGCTGCATTACGCGATGACCCTTCTAGTATGAAAAAAAGTTACCTTATAACATAAAAAAATTACTAACTAGCAGTTCGATAAGTGAGCAATCTTCCACCCGAGGTTCATCACTTACCATTCCTCTTTCTAGTACTCTCCACTTGATCATGCCTAAAAAATATTTTGAAAACATTGGTTATACTAAAATATATGGTGTATTCTTTGTAAACCATGCACAGTAGTAAAACAAATATAAGTTTCAAAATCATTTCAATAAAAATATGGTTAAAATGAATGTATACTTGCAAAATCAACATCCCGTCGCGGCTAATTATACATCATGGTCACATACAACAATGACGCTCACTTATATACATAGTGGTCACATACAACAATGACGCTCACTTATTACCCCATTAACCTAACTCCTCTGACACTGTAAGAACTCTTGTGTCAACATGAAACACATTCATGTGCACACGAAGAATAATCACTCCCATAATTGTGGTACCCTACTACTGTTGTGCAATTTATAATTAAGACATTTTCATAAAACCACGTATGGTCCAAGTCTATGTTTGAATCGGACCCACAAGACTAATTGTTCAACAAATCCACACCTGAATAATAGAATTACTTAAGATGTGAAACTCACATTAATCACGAAATAGTTTCTTCCTTTTTATCTCTTAATAATGACCTTAAATAAGGCCATAAACTAGAGGTTTGGCCAAAAGATGAAAACCCCAAAACTGAGGGTTATGCTACTTGATCCGTGAAGTTGGTTGCGGCGCTAGTCATGAAACTTGTATGACTCTTCTCGCGAGTTGTTACGCTACTACACTAACGGCTTACGTCGCCTATGGCTCTGTCCAAAACCAAAATCAGAAATCAATTCTTCAACTTCTCAACATCGAATTTTGTAGACAAACCAACCCAAACCAAAATGATTAATTGGATTAAAACAATGATTTCCAAAATCATTTACAACGATTAGAACTTATCCAAATCCAACCAAAGCCCAGGGTGTAACCTCTCAAAATGAAGAATATTTGAACCATCTGTGGTTTGGTTAAAAACTCCGTGTTTCTGTGTTGTTAAACCAGTTACAATCTCGAAACATATAAAGATTCAGTCAAATCAAGACTTCATAAACAAAACCCCATTTCATCTCTCAACTCAAAGACTTACTTCATTTTAAATGTTATAATATCAATTTTATATGAAAATATTCAGAACACTTAATAAAACAATATTTCTCGATTTTATATATTTAATTTCAATGATTTTTATCGATGTGAATAATATAAAAATCATTTATATTAGGAATTGTTCATTTTGGAGATTTTTACCATATCTTTTATGTCCCCAAAGTCTTCATTTTTTATTATTTTTTAAATTAGTTGAAAATAAAATCTAAAATAAATTAAAAAATCTCTCATCTTTTTTCTCTTCTCTCCATAACATACACGTACACACATGATTTAATATGTACAAAAGATGAACACTTTGTAAACATTTTCTTAGAAATATTATTATAGTTTCTGAACACACTCTAAATCTAAAAGATCTTATATAACTTGTAAACACATTGTGAACACCAACTAAATTAACAAAATCTAAATCTAATTCTATCATTTGTGAAATCCATGTGAATCTTGTAAGAAAATATTAAAGTCTGTTTACTTTGTACTTGTGTATGTTATAGAGCAAGGAGAGAAAAAAAAATATGTACCGAAATTCCTAAAAAATACATTAATTTTATTTAAATAAATACCGATCATATCTCATTAAGTAATAATAT